TGCCTCTGCAGATACCTGCCTTCCTCGAACAAAAGGCTGTTCCTTGTAAGCATATGCACCCTTCCGTTGTCATACCAGAACACAGGTTTGATATAAAAGACATTAGAATTAGGATGTGCCCCTAAAACCCCTAGGAGATTAGCTATTGTCCTATCTTTCCATTGTCATCCAATCGTCATGGAAAATTGCTGTGGAAACCCAGTAACAATGGATTTCATTGTTCTCCGTCACTTTCATTATTCTAGCATACCTTTTATTGTTATTTGTTTCCTTGACAACCATGGTGAACAATGATACCCTCATTGTCCCATTATACCTATCCATTGTCCCCAAAGACACCCTACCATTGTTCTATTATTTATCTATATTTACCTCGCTAGGATACCATTGTTCTTAAGACAAACAGTGTAGGTATAGAAAGGGAGCAGGTCTCTCTGATTCAATAATAACATAGTTATCACCCACATTCTAGTTCATTAGTTTGGCTGTATCTGAAACAAGTAGGATACCAGCATTTCTGTTTGTAGAGACCCGAAAAGTAAGTACAGTCTATTTCTTTTGCTAAGTCTGCACCGAAACAAGTAGGTGTTAGTAATGCACTAACAGCTAAGTCTGCACTTAAAACGAGTAGGTGTCAGTAACGCTTTGACAGTTTAATTATCCTGAAACAAATAGGGAACCCTTACAAGTCCAGATCTGAAACAAGTAGGATTCTGGCATACTGACTTCAGTTGATTAGTTATCTAGTTCATCCCATAGGTTTATTATATAGACCTATAACCCTGTATATACTTGCTACTTATCGTACAAGTAAATACACCATCACCCCTATCCACTTAGGAGTAGTATTGTTGATTGACATACTATTTCTAATAACCGACCTCACCCTATCCATACCTCTCTGAGAGTATTCCCTCTGTTCCAATAATCCCGAAATCAACAAACAACCAGGTGCAACTCAACGCTGTAGTTCACGACCATCTGGGCACTATTTCATTAAACTGACTTAGTGTGACACCGTGATCGGCCATACCTCTGCCCAACTGAGTGTTCATCTTTTGAGACCTCGTTGATGAATCCAATTTCCTCAGGAGTGTATCAGGCCATGTGGATGCGAAATTCGGCGTGACATAGTTCATCCTGTTCGGTTGCAATGCGCTTCAGCTTCTTCCTACTGATCCCAGCTCAAGATAACTCCCGATGAATGGTGCTGTAGTGAATGGAGATGAATCGGTTGGTGTCCAAAAGGTGAAGAAGCTTGTCCAGGGAGTAATCAGGGTTTTCATGGACCAGGGTGAGCAGATAGTTGATGTTGTCTTGCTCCAGTAAATGAAGGTGGCCGTGCATGCCTTGCTTTGGAGAGACTACATTGCCTGTTTCACGATAGAGCTGGAGAACACGATAGAAAGTACTTGCAGAGAGCATACAGCAGTTGAGAATGTCTTCAAGGTCCAGTAGGTTCTGTTCATGAAGGCGAATTGCAGCGATCTTAACATCATGGCTGATTTTTCAAAAACCCATGGTGGCGATGTGACAAGCGCTGAGAGCAATAATTATTTTCTCACTCTTTCAAAAATATCTCACAACTGTCGTGCTTTTTTCAAATGGCTGTAATTGGATTGATTACTGTCAACAAAGCATGCAGGTCACAGAATTAAATGACCCTTAGAAGCAGCTGGCATTCTGGGACAAGGTATACCGATTATATGCTCATATATATACTAACTTGTGTGTATAGCACCTACTTGTTGATAATTCCAACACAAGTGAGGGCATGAGTCGGCTTATAAAGTATGTGTTGAGGACAATTGATGTCATACATTTCGCCAAGGTTTAGATTGAACATGAAGGCAAGAAAGGAGGGAAACAGTGGAAATCGGAATACCACTTGGAAATATTTGGAGCAATGGTGGAAGGAGAAGTCTTGATGGACAATCTCAGGTCAACGCAGAGAGACTATGAGAATATGGAGGCAATGAGAGGCAATGAAGAGAACCTTGAAGCTGACAAGGCGCTCATGGAAAAAGAGAAAGAAATTAGGCAGTTGAAGAAAGCGTACACAACAGCATGACAGAAGTTTATCAACAAGCATGGACAAATCATCAATGCCAGAAAGGTTGTAGTGCTGGAGCTGAGCACAAGACCAGTCATGTGGATCGAGGGGTAAGGAATCTGAAGGTGCATCAGACAGTGGCAGGAGATCGTTCTTTTTTGGGAAAGGTTTGGGCAAGAAGTGCAAGTAACTTTACTGTCGGCAGATTGGAGAATAGCATTGCAACTTTGGCTGGGCGGTCAATGAATGGGAGGTTAATTTTGTCAAGGAGGGGGTGAATGCGGTGGGTGAAGTGCCTGTGCTGAAACTGGTTAGCTGGTCTCTCGCTGTCAGAGAGGGTAAATCATAAGATACTATGATGATGAGCAGCTTGAGGGCAGATCAGTTGCCTGGGGATTGGTGAGCTAGTGGACACACATAGTTGATGTCGTAGAGGGCTGCGAGAAGTGATTTGATAAGAGGGCTGAACTGGCTATAGGTGTACCAGCTTCTGCTCACATCCACCAGCTATTGCACAGGTGCTTGCGACTTGGATAATGTATTAAGTAAGCAGACCATGGACGGGACGAGGGGCAGCACAAAGGCAGTCGCAATCTGGAGCCTGCAACAACACAGAAATGAGTGTCACTTTTGAGCAATGAGAACTTTGAGAAATGCACCAGAGTATCCCAGTGGAGCGACAGGTATTGAAGAGAGATCAAGCTCTGGTCATAGTAAGTTTACATCCTGAAGTTCACCACACACAATTGAGCATTTTATATAGTTACCAAGTTTCTGGATATAGCCTTTTCTTTGGATTGCAACTTGCTTGTATGCAAAGCATGGTCATCTATCTTCGACACATTCATGCTTCATATCCAAGATTTGACAAGGCCCTTTCCCCATCATGCCTCACTTCCGTTCTCACAGACTCTGATGAAAAATTGAATCATTTTCTTCCCTTCCAAGAATTGGCACCAGATCAACAGTGTTGGCGCAGCCATCCAGGGAGCCCATATAGCCCAGACTTGGCTAAAACAAACCAGGGTCTATTTGGAGCTCTCCTACATCATGGTGTCACCTATAACACCCCTTTGTCCTGGGAGGGTGACAAGCTCATATATGGTGTGGAAGAGTGGGAGGAACTCATTGCTAAACACGTCAACCCTGATGTTGACTCCAATGGCAACATTCTCTGTTGGAATGATTCATACTTTGTCAACATGTGAGCCTATGGACCAGGCAATAACTCCAGATCACCATTGCTGGTTTGATTGTACTTCAATGAGGTCGAATCTCTTGATTGAAGTTTGGAACTCAAGGAACATCTCCATTCCTTTGCAGATTGCTACAACTTTTTTGTGCCTCCCAAGAAGTCACCTCACTTCTTCAACATTGGCTCCTTGACATCTTTTCTTATCTCAGCCGACTTTGTGTATGCAAAGGTGTTCCCCATGCCGTCACCACAGGAAATTGGGGAGTATGTTTGACAGCTCAACAAAGGAGCAGTACACTGCCTGCACCTTCTTGGCTTGCTAGAAACTCCAGCAGGCAGCTGTGTTCATTTACCTCCACCAGACCGAGATGCCTGCATGGAGGCATTCATCAAGCTCTACAACTTCCTGGATAAGGAGCTGACTACATCAGAGAAGGCAAAGATGCACTTTGACGTTTTCATGGTTGAGCATGCTGCGTGTAAATTAACTCGAGCTGTTCCTAGATACTATGAGATTGCTTAGAGCTGTATGCTTGTTTGTATAGTAGTGTATTATTTAGATATAGGGCTTCTAGCCATACCTATATGGGAACAGCCATAGGTATACATTGATTACATGGAGAATTTGTATCCCAACCTGTGCATGGGGTCAACAATCAGAACTGAGGGAGTAAATCACACTATGCACCTGTCCGTGCATAGGAGAGATCTTGCGACTGGTCCCGGGTGTGTGTTGAATGGCATGATTGGCCAGACTGAGGGAGCTTTGGATGGATGGTTCTGTCCAAAACATATAAATTGGGAAAGCCCTGAGCTTTTTGATGTGGATTTTGAAGCAGATGGCCTTGCAGAGGAGCATGGGGACTTGGATGCATTGCAGTGTGTCTTGATGGTAGTAAAGAAGATAGAGGTTGACAAGGAAAGCTAAAGACATCAGGCTCATGCCTCATGACTTGCATGCTTCACCAACACAATATCAGTCCAAGTTGCAACCTGTATGTATAAATGTGTCTGCTAGATGTTTAGCAGTGCTTTGTGTGAGGGGAGCAAATGATGTCATGGTGTCAAAGAAGAGCAAGGAGTAAAGCAAAAAGGGAATGAAGAACTAAGCTCCACAGGAAGACATGGGCATTATTAGGGCTGCTATAAGTACTAGCTGACATGAGTATGCTGTGAGGCTAGCAACAACACATGTAAGTAACATTTATGTACCAAGAGATGTGGGCATGCACAAACCTTAAGAACAAGGTTTTTAGATTTTTCAAACTCTCCAAGGTTCTGGATGTGAAGATAGCTCAAGGTTACTATTCACATGTGGTCTATTTTGATAGTCTTGCCATATATACATCTCTCTTACTGGAACTTCAGAACCTTCACCTGTTTCATATTTGGGGTAATAAATACCCCCTTGGACCACATCCCTCATAGAACTTACTAACACATAATGAAGTCAGAGAAGGTTTGAGAAACATATATAGTAGAGATATAGATAGGTGGGACAGGCAAACATTGAGGCCTTCATAGTTTCTTTTGTTCAACCTTCACACTAGTAAGTCTGTGCCATTTAGAAGACAAATGAATGATTACAATCATGCATTGTTTTATTCCTTTGTCCACTTGAAGCCTTGTTTCCTTCAATAGAACCAGCTGTATACTACTGTGTGCAGGCTTTTAGAATGAAAGAGTTTCTCAAATTACAAGAAAAAGATTGCTAAGTTATCTTTTGTGAAGTTTACAGGGGCCAAAAGTAAATGGACACTGTGGGGATTGAACCCACGGCCTCATGCAGTCACAGACATGGCCGTGCAAAGCAGGCGCGCTACCACTGTGCTAAGTGCCCTTTCCTTGAGTTGTTCTGTTCCCGAATGAGTGCTTTTCAGTGTGGAAAGGAACGAGGAGGAGAGGCAGCAAGTGAGAGCGCCCCTAAGGCGATCATGGTAAATATTTCTCACGATCGATCACTCACGACGATCATCTATACCGTCGCCTCAGGAAACTCCGTCGCGTAACATTTGGCTGACATCTTACCACTAGACAATCTTATTTTGGTACGCCAAGCCCGGTTTCCGCTACCCAGCGGTCGCGGATAGATCAAGTTTAGCCAACTGATAACCGAGAAGTCGTACAACACTCGCTAATAGTCAAGATTAGTAGCACAGACCTCGGTTGTAAACTCACCGACGTCGCACTTGCAGAAATTATTCGACAGAATGCCAACCTCCCGCGAGGGGCGGATGCATTGTCTGTTTGCTTCTGCGTCCGATAACTCGATGTCTACCTCAGTCTTGTTGAAATTCCAGAAACATATAAATATTGCTGCATTCGACGCAGAATGAACATTATCTCATTCCTTCTCCTCCAAGCCCTCAGCATCCCTTAGAATCCTCTCATCAGTAACTTCATCCTAACACAATGGCCCCCGCTCTTGACTACTTCACCAAGTCCTTCACTGAGGCCCCCGCGCCGACTCCAGCCCCAGCAGCTTCGCCCGCTCCTTCTGACGGTGTCTACTACAATGCCCGCTTGGACCCGAAGAACTACCTTGAGGGCCCCCTCTCTGAGAACCCTGCCACCCGTCTACGTCAGATGCTCGCTCGCCCAGGTATCGTGGTAAGTAACATTGATTTATTCCCCGTCAAAGACACCACAATTGACCACACCCACTAATCGCAGGTCGCTCCCGGTATCTGCGACGGCATCAGCGCTAGATGCGCCCTCGAAGCAGGATTTACCTGCCTCTACCAATCCGGTGCTGCTACCACCGCTTCTCGCATGGGCCAACCCGATCTCGCTATCGCTACATTGAACGACTTCGTCGATGTATGTCCTCGCCACTGCTACACCACACCATCTCGAATACTAACATATTACCTCCCTCGCAGTCCGCACAAATGGTCACTAGTCTCGACCCCACCTGCCCCGTCATCGCCGACGCCGACACGGGTTTCGGTGGCCCCGCCATGGTCGCGCGTACGGTCACCCAATATGCCAAGTCGGGTGTCGCTGCTCTTCACATCGAAGATCAGGTTCAGACCAAGCGATGCGGCCATTTGCTTGGCAAACAAGTCGTCTCTCGCGAAGAATTCCTTACCCGCATCCGTGCCGCCGTCATTGCTCGCGACGCTATCCCAGGAGGGTCCGACTTCGTGAGCCCCTTCATACCGCTACGTAAAGCTTTACCTCACTCACGCCTCCGTTGTCGTAGGTCATCATCGGGCGCACGGACTCTGCTCAGGTATTGGGTATGGAGGAGGCAATCGAGCGATTGAAGCTCGCAGCTGCCGCCGGTGCAGACGTCTGCTTCATCGAAGGCGTCAAATCGAAAGAACTCTTGGAATCCACCGTTGCCGCGCTGGCACCGATCCCCGTCCTCGTCAATGTCATCTCCGGCGGCTTGACTCCTGCTTTCACTTACAGAGAGGCTGAACAGATGGGTGCCAAGATCATCAGTTCGTACTCACTTTCTGTTCCGTCGTTCTTCCAGCGGGGCCGCTGATCATACTCGTTTTGCAGTTTTCTCGCTGGTATCCTGTGTTGCGATGGTTCACGCATGCCGTGCGGCCATGCACTCGCTCAAGAAGACGGGTACAGACTTTGTATCTGCTCAAGGGATGGACCCGAAGGAGTTCTTCAAGGTCATGGGTACGCATCTCTCTTCATCTCGCGACGACAATCTTACTGATCCACTACGCGGAACGTTAGGTTTGGATGCTGTGATAGAACTCGATGCGAAAGCTGGCGGGTCCGCATTCGAAGTAGTATAGTTTTCCGTTCCTCTGGGCTTGATAGACATAGATTTCAATGGTTATACCCAATAGACTTCGTTCTCTTCCTTCCCTCTGGTCCCGAAGTACTCCGGCGTTTTATAGAAACGACGTACATTCTATCGAGTTGGTCTGCGGTCGGATTTGTTTGGTAATCCTGGCTGCTATGCCGGCTCGTGAACTCATCGAACGACCCGAGGGAATCAAGGAGATGCTAAAAGTACAATCTTGTTCTTCGACATCTCTATCTCCTATCTACAATGTAAACGGTATATTGAGTCCAGAGCGTGTACTCATCCACGACAGCAAAACGAAGGGTACCAATACAAAGCCAAGCGGTCGCACAGCAAGTAAAGAAGGGGGAGAAAGCATACCACAAAAAGAACTACACCGATCAAATACGAGAAGGAGCGTTGGAGTCGTACGAATGCAGCGTAGGTAGATAGTAGGTGGGCAGAGGGTTGTCAGACCCGTACGAGGGGCTGGGGTTGTGGTTGGCCTGGTGTGCGCCCTTCTCCGGGTCGGAGGTTTGGGAGATAGCATCGGGGTCGTGCTTGAACACGCTGGGCGCAAAGTTGGACGACGAAAGGATGGCCTCGGCGTGCACTGGATGGAGACACGTTGATCAGCTAAACGTCACAACCCGTTGCGACAACGGACAAACGCACAGTACTGGGATAGCCCTTTGTTGAAATTGAGCCAGCAGATGACTCCGAGGATCATACTAGCAACAATCAGCACGAACGAGCAAACCGTAATGCTGAATAAGAATGGCCACTGCACAAGTGACCTATAACGAAACTGCATTAGAATGGGAGTACCGGCATTCGGGGAGTACCAACCATCTATAGACACGGGAGTAAAACATGCTGGACCACCCGCCCAAGAAGACGAAGCCAATGACCAAGAAGATGGCCATCAACACCTTCCGTTCATGACGGATGGCATACCAACCCTGTCAGACCCAAAAGTTAGCAACGGCAGGCAAAATCACGTACTAACTTAATCTTACCAAAGCTATCCATGGAAGTAAGAGCTTATTATTTTGGGCTCCGGTAAGCACGCGTACAACGCACAGTCACTTAACAACGGGCACTTACCACGGTCGTGCCAATAATAAGAGCCTCGTACACCTCTATGAATTGTGATGTGCGCCCAATCGCAGTGTTGAACATTTGGTCGGTCCAAAGGCCCATTGCCGCGACAAGAAAGAGCGTTCCCAGCTGAAGAGACACGAGGACAGCCATAAAAAACTGTGATAATCAATCAAGCGATTAGCTGAGTTGGTGTGCGCGCAGTAGATCAGGCGCGGCGTACTCGGTAGATCTTGACAATGGCCTGCGGAGGTCCCATGCATTTGAAGGATTGCTGATTGTACCTCTGCACTTCCGGTAAGAAATCTGAGGGATCCATTGAGATGAACGCGCGCATACCTTGACCAGCGTCCATGAGAGGTAGCAAGATAAGGTCAGCGCCGTGCAGTTGAGGATGATGTCAGGAATCTAAAAATGTCGAAGGTGAGAAAATGTACACCGAGGCGGTTCTGATAGGTCGGGAGTAACTGAAAGGTAACTACGAAGAAGTAAGGGATTGAGATTTCCAGAACCCCGGTATCACAGAAGTGGCGAACGGCGAACGCCGAAGGTCAAAAGGCCGACGAATAGAAATGAGACGTAAGTTAGAGACCAACACTTCATATGCGGGAAATGAAGATGTCATGTCCCTATCATGATGGGTGATAGTTCCGCCGCTCTATGATTGAACCCAGTGAGGCTGTCCGACATGAGAAGGGCCCAGTGTTACAATCATTGCACAGCGAAGTGGAATGGGGGACAAAGAGAGAGATAAGCAGAACTCACCTCAGCGTTGACTCTCAATTTACTCCAGTCATTCCAAAGGTTGATCCGACATGGCGTATTAGGCCCTGCATATTTTGTTAGCTAGCAGACACAGGGACGTTCTGTGAGTAATCACCAATGAACAAAGTCTCGAACACCTTTGAATTATGCTTCGTACGCCATAACGCGTATCCAGACCAGCCGGTCGCGATGGCGCGAGCAAACAGAACTGACAATCTACGTGTAGAGGTCAGCACTGATCCTCGTTCCACAGTTGACAGACAGAAATGATACGTACGTGTGGGGAATGGAGTCTAACATGATCTTTGCAAAAGCAGAACCCCTTTGTGTCAGCATCGTTGACAAGGCTGCCGTGAACTTCGCACTCACAGCGGCCACTGATACACTGAACAGCCAGAATTGTATGAAAATGAAAGTTAAATCTTCCCGCCGCGCATTGTTGAGTCTGAAGGGGAGGTTATAACTTCGAGGGCTTCAAGCTGGGAACGATGACCTACAGTTGCCGAGGATAGTCCAAGACCTTCGTGCACTGTGTGGTGAGAACGGGGCTGGATCGGATAGGCCGCCTGTGGGTGCACATCAGCTAGACAGTACAAAGGGAGGCGGAGAGAGGAGGCTCACTTATTCTGCAGTATGTCCACGCCAATCACAAGAGAGCCGTTGTTTTTATCAGTGACTGGGCGAAGTTCGTATTGATCCGAGGTGTGAAGCTGCGGTCGTTCAATAACAGTAACATGACCACAATATAGAAACTACAAACCTGGATTAACTGTGGCTCCTCTCCCGTAGGGAAAGGAATATCCTATCAAAGCTGAATAAGTCCCGCTGACCCCAGCTATAGAAGGTGTATGCCACTCACCCCGTACGCGAACACCTTCATACACGGATCACTCGTCAAACCAGAGAAGGGTATGTCGTCGCACATCCTCAGAACGAACCCTGAGAAGTCCCCATTTCCCCTATCGCCCGTCAAGTACGTGAAGTTTTTCGGAGCGATATTACTCTTGACCTGAGTCAAAGGGTCAGTCCTGATGATCGTCGGGTCGATGAGCGAGTCGAGGAGGTTGGTATATGCTGTGTCAAGGGACAAAAGGGAGGCTTGAATGATCCCTTGCGCAAGGCAGTGAACGAAAGCCAGAAGGAAAAAGAATGTGGTGGTCTTGTTGAGTGTTATCCTGGCGTACTGGCCGCGGTGCTCCGTCAATAATTCAGGTTCA